AACATTACAGAAGACGAGCGAAAGATGCATTCGTTTTGATCCAAAAGCGTTTAATGTAGCCGCGGGTAGAGAACGCAATGCGCTGATTAGATTGGAAAATGTTTTGCAGTGTTTGGTCAAAGCTAACTATTTCACGATGGTAGACCTATCCTCAGCGTTCTGTCAGGTGGTTCTAGATGAAAAATCCAGTTACCTTAAGAACTTTGTCACACCATTTGAATTTGTATGTGCATCTGTATGGACTCACTGCACAGCACTGGCTCTGCATACCACGTTAAGACAAGTGAAAGTCACGTAGTTGAGCACGGCTCAGGGTGATCAAAACCAAACGGAACACAGTGAACATTGTTCATCCGCCTGAGCCAAATTCCATAATACGCCTTGACTATTGGTATGAACCGATGCACCACTGGTTCGCTCCGGCGGTAGTTTTACTCAATCAACTATTTTACCAATAGGTTGCTCTGATGAACTTTAACTTTAGCGGCGGTTTTGCTCTGTTTTGATACATTCCGTTGCAACTGTGGTACGTTTTTTACTCTCGGTCAATGAGTCGAACATTCTTCTGAAGCATAGTGTAACACACTTGTTTTGCTAGTTAAGGTTATGTTGCTTGCACTTGATGTCCAAGTCACTCATGAAGCTAACTTTGACAGCTAAGGACCGTCAAGAAATAAAAGTTGCATTCATTTAGTTACAGCCACGTTCAGCGTTTTCCTACGTACTTGCGCATGCAGCTGTTTACTTATGCATTCACATTTGCCTGGTAATATGCTGACGGTGCTGGCCTAATTGCTGAGAATCTTATCTCGAATTATAACACATAGGTGTGTTGAAAATGAACGTTTGAACTGCTTGAGAAGTGAAGTCATGGTCAATCTGCTTCGACACTACTACCTTCCTGGTGCATTCGAAGAAGACATGTTTGATTCGAAGGCAAGCTGTACGTGTGCGCCGCACAGTGCGGTTCCGGGAGAACGTTTGTTTAGAAAAAGATAATTATTTACTGCAGCTGAGCGGATTCAACGACGTTCACCTATTATCAGTGTCCATCCTCTCCGATATCGTGTCCGTAAAGCGCCGTAATCATCTTGCGCTGCGAAAAGTGTGCCAATATTTTTCGCGAAGAGATGACAGAGTCTGTTACAAAATTTACCTAATAGAATCCACAAAACGTAACTTACCCTAAAATTCGGTACTTGAATTAGATGCCACGTTCCATATGTTTAGCATGGAATGCATTTCCCACCAGCACAAACGGCAGAGGAGCAGATTCAAATACCTGCTACAATTGAATAAGATGAACACAACTGTGTTGTCACACAGAACGTAGTTCACGTTGGCGTATGGTAGAAATGGAACCCTTGTTTTATGATAATCAATGGCTCTATTACACAAAGTAATATTCTTTCCGGGGTTTGTTGTTGGCTCCGGCATGGTAAACGATTATGAACAAGTAGTTGTTCTTCTCTTGGTTGAATTCGTTCCGAACTATCGTGTGCTTTTTATCTCGTTTATTAGCGTAAGCATCTTTTAATAACTAGTGCCACAAATTCTGGTTTGGTGAATGCACCGCAATTCAAATGGCATATGGCGTGCATAGCATGCACCAACGGCAGTTATGGTTAAAAAGACAACGAACAATGATGTTTTTTTAACAAAACTGTTGCTCTTTTAATGTTGGATTACCGTACATCTGTCGTGTCCGACTTGAAAACGCAAGAATGTTTTTCAGTATCGGCGGGAGTGAAGTATGGCCATAGGCAGTAAGTCTAAATACCTTTCCTACAGATATACATGTTTGCTTGGGGTTACTACTGAAAACGGATAAGGAAGGGACGAAAACGACGTAAATTTGTATGGTGCTCAATGTATATCAACCCGAAAGGAGACAAAAACATTTTACGGTAATTAAGTCAAGTGTAGTGTTTGGCCAGTTCCAGGTAATACCCACTCAAGTTAGTATTTTGTCAGATTGGTGCAGGTCGCGACATACGTGTTTTAGGCTTGTCAGTATTAATAAAACCATGCTCAGATCCAGTCGCTTATACCAGCATTCCCAACTGTAAAATTTAACTGCTTGTATTCTGAGGTGGTACGGTGTGCGTTCTAGCTGTTTGTCCGCAACAACTTCCCTGAAATGCTTAACACTTAGGTAGGTTCTTAGGTGCAGTACACGAATCAAGTCTGACAACTCGGCTGAAACAAACTTTGGCTCTACTGGAAACCCCACCTTGAAGGGCAACCGAAAATAATTTTACATTTTTCAAAATGCACTACGAAATGCAACTGATATCTCTAAGATTGGGCAGCGAAGTTATGGCTGTCTGTGGTGTGAGCTTGTTCTCATTTGTCCTTTATATTTGGAAAATCCTAGGTTTGTTTGCCGTCAATTCTTGATAGTTAGCCGCTGCAAAATAGTTGGGGGCCACCGCTGTGAACTAGCAACCCCATACAGCCGGTTGGAACGTCATCGGGATATATATTCCCTGAGAAATAGTAAGAGGTGGAACGCTCTGCCGACTTATCCAATTATAGGCCGAAGTTTCACTACTTTTAAGAAGTTGGCAATTCATCACAAAGCTTACAGTGCATGACATACACCTGCTTATCAATTGACGACAAGACGCAACATCGTACTTATCTGCCATCGTGAAATCGGGTCAGAGGTTTATTTATGTGTAACGTGGATATTTTGATGTTTCTACAAATACGTAGTTTATTGTTTTGATCATTTTTTCTTTCCACTAATGGATGTAACACATACCATACTGCGGAACTTCTCAAGCTCTCGCTTTCTTGCCCGTATTAGGCCCTTACTCATTGTAACAGATCCTAACTGGATTTGTTACTCCCTGTTTTTACAGACGGCATCCTCCTCGATCACTTGAACTGCGCAGTTTCCGTCGCAGTAGTCAGGCACAACCAAGACGCCCATCTGCACGCTCTTGAAGAGACAGTTCCGTTTATTGCTCAGCAACCAAAAGACAATTTTACATATTGCGCGATTATCTCAATCAATTTGGATAATGTATCTCAGGCAAGTGACCCGCCGTTCGACATCTCGGATAGCTAGGAACTGTCAAAAGACATCGCTAAAATGTAGCAACAGATGAATCACGAGCTTCGTATTGGAACACATGATTAAAAACTGTACACCAATTTGCTGCAAAGGACAATTTCAAATCCAAATGCACCAACCAGTGCGATGAGTGAAGAGGCCGACAAAACACGTACTGAAGAAAGCAGAAGTGATCTCCATCAGGCTTCCGCAGCTAGAGGGTGTGTCAATTCATCAAATTGCTGTGGCAATACCGAGAAATGTTTCAAGTACTGTACTGCGGACAGTACAGTGTACTATCCTACACACGTTCGATTTAAAAGCGTGTGCCTCTTGCATGGGTCTGTGGGTTCTGTCGGAAATTTTATCGCTTGAGTCGATCTGCGTGAGTTTCAAAGCCTGATCATAGCAACTGAGGCGTTATCATTTCCGATATCAAGAGCGTAATGTGGTCCAAGTTCAGTGTGCAAACGACCTGACGGAATTGGCTGAATGCGAACTTTGAATTGCTGATTTAATGTACATTCCTGAGCTAGACATTTACTGCAAAGTCTTGAGGTCCAACATTCTTAAAGTCGCTAATATAGTCTCCCTTGGAACTACAGCGTAACAATTCCCTCGTTGATGTAAAGTAACCCATTTCAACAGATGGGTAAAACTGACTCATCTAGTTTGGCGATGGTCGGCTTCGCACCATTGCTAAGTACCCTGGATACCGCTGAAGAATGGGAAGTATTTTTACGATGGGAGTTTTTCTTACACTTCAAACCCCCCGAGTTTAAACGTACCTTCAATTCGATTTGTTTAATACTACAACAGCAACGTGAAAAGTAAAACGATACAAACTAAAGTGCGCATATGAGTGATGAGATAATCGAGCGGAATGGTTCAAAGTAAACACGTGAGATACAGTGTGATAGCACAGGGCAACTGGATTTAACGAAGCGATCCAAAATCCACAGCATATCAATCAAAAGTTGTATCATCGTCAGAGCTGGTAAGAGGCGAGTTCTCCTGGGCATACGGCGCTGTGCAACAAAATGGCTTGAGGGACTCTTGACAATCTTTTTTACGATAACGTAGCGTTGAACAGAAGAATTAGACGTTCGGATAGTTGATTTGTGACCCATGTACAGCAATTTTAGCAGTTCATCCTGCCGTGCCGCTTAAGCTATACCGAAGAGAAATTTGCAAAATTAAGAATAATTATTGTCACGTTTAGTTGCATTCTAAGCTGATGGGATACAATACGTTTGTGTATCTCTTAGGAAACTTTCCGCCCTTTACCGCAAGTTCCTGGCAAACCAAATAAGCCAGTACATAATTAGAGTGGCATATAATCGGAAACCGAAGAAGCAAGTCTCGCCAAGGAAAGATGGATGATTCTCCAGATTCAGCTACTACTCAGTGTCTAACGCAAACACTACTGTTAGGGCAAAGTCAGCACATTCAAACAAAAGAGCTTTCCTTAATTGTAGGTAAAATCACAGTTGATAAACGTTATAACTCTATGAAGAATGCCACCTGCGTATGAGTAAAAGTAAAAATGTTAATTATTTTAGTTCATGTTTTTCAGTTTAGTTTTGAGAACAAGAAAGGAGCACAATCTGAGAATGGATTGGACGAATGATGCGAACACTGAACAGGCTGCAGCAAAGAAATGTGATTTAAAGTTACGCAGTGCGCATATCAAATCCAATACCCCTTGAGATCACAGTTGGCACAGCTTTTACTGGCTCACCAGTGCTAGGGCGCACGTAAACATCATAGTCAGAAATACCTCAAGTATTGTTCCAGGCTTTTGGCTAAGGTGCACCACGTTACCCTGCAGTGACCACAACGTGCCACACGACAACCAACGGTGCTTCGGAGCCTATATAAATGTCCAAAAATGCCAAAAAGAGTTATCTCCTTCACAGCGCTTTTGCGCATATAACTAATGATGCGTAAATCACCAACAATTGCGTTGTTATCTTGGTGGTTGTATTGTGTGTGCCCGACGCAAGCGATTATCAATAACGAGTTCGGAAATCAAAGGATTGTTGGAAGTGAAGGAAGTGAATCCCAATATGATGGAATGGATGGGATCGCATCATTGAAATCCGGGAAGGCAAAACAGGTGGCCGTAAAAAATGTGAATGCCAATGTAAGTAATCAGAATCCAACCATAACTAGAGATGTATAGACCGCTATACCGTAGCCGTTTCTTCACATATCATCTGATTGCATGCCTGTGGGTTAACATTGACAATGGGTTAACATTTTTCTGTTTGGCATTGGTAACATTTCTCGTTCGGCACAAATCGCATTTTTTAATAAGTATTTCATGATGCACGTTCTTAATTTCGACCACCCATGGAGGCAATCCACAAAGAAATACTAACTAGCCTAGTCAAATCCATCAACAGAGATAACTAAACAATACATTGGGCACAAATGTAAACGTATAGCTTCATAAGTGCGTACCATTATACAAGCGTATTTTGCTTTCAACACTAGTGTTAAAGCAGTTTCCTACGCAACCAAGCACTCGGCTGAGAAAAATATGCTCTCATTGTGTTTGGTAAAGAGAGGATAATGCACTGAAACTTGAATATGGACTGTGATATACCTAATTCTATCATCACGCCAAACACTGCGTGTGCCAATACCATCACTGCGTTTCAAGACAAGAAAAACTTTCAAAACGTTCAGACCCACCGACAACTCTACACAAGTGGCTTCAGAGGTGCAGTGGTATAATTTATGTTAGCAGCTTTTAATAATGCTTTGGTAATGTTAATCACACCCAAAGAAACGTGGATCAAAAGTACGGGTATAGGTAGTTTAGTGCACAAGCTATACGGAATGCATGTAAGTGCACTTGACACTTCCATAAATCTGTATTTTACATGCTGTTGTTTTATTTTATACACGACCCCTTTTCATTTACTGATGTGATCCTATGCTCGCAATTTTTACAGTACAAAGAGATTTCTTTGAAGTATGGATATAATTATCACGCACCAGCTTATGAGCGAATCTTCAACCAAGAGCGCTACGGAAAATGGTCTGAGTGGTCTGAATGTGACCAAAACGAATGCGTTATGCGTCGCCGCCGTGAATGTACCGACGGCTCATGGAAGCGAATCAGTGCCGACGGGCACCCTTCATCCAACTGCATAAGCAGATACTACGAAGAGACAAGGGCGTGCAAAAACAAGACGATATGCGCTCCGTATGGTAAGCATCTCATATGTATTGATTGGTCCGATTATTAATCAACAGAATTGCTTATATCACTGCGCATACTAAAAAAGACTACCTTTTGTTACATCGTGTTCGAAATCTAAATTGCATTGCCTGCCATACCGGCGCTATGCATTTGGATAGCTGATTTTGTTATACATTAGAATTCAGTAAAAGTTTGGTAAAGTATACTAGTTGTGTTTTGCTATTTCAGCAAAGTCCTATCCTGTTAAACAAACGAAATTTGTTGCATTCTGTTTCGAACACACTGCTCTTAAGTACATAGAAGGTGAATGTTTTTAGCTAAGGTATAGTTGCTCAGAATACAGAGATCTATTTAACTAACTCAGATTGTAGGATAGCAAGGAAGACTCTAGTCGAATTTATCCCTTCTGTGCTGGAATCGATTCATCGGTTTGGGATCCGTACTTGAAATATTGACCATAGGTATCTGTAATATGCGGCATAGGTGAACACATTGACCATCCAGAGTTCAGGTAATTTCGAAAGCGATCTAAGCAGGTAGGCTGCAGATGAATAAGATTGAAGTTATATAAAGATGAATAAAATTCAATCGAGGAACTGTTAGTTGTTGCATGCAATGATGGTTGTTTTCAATTCCTATTTGTTGGACATATACGTCCTCTGAACAATTAATTAACAGCAGGACTAATATCAGTACTTGGTGCAATAAATGTTATCATAGGAACATGAATTTATTGATGTTGCTTCCACAGCGGAAAGGACGTTAAGCTAAAATTAGGTAACTCAGGGGTTATACATCATCTGCTGTATCTGTGACTCCCATTTAAATAAATCGTTCAGCTGAAAGAGTGCAGATAAATCTGGAAGCATTGGGAGAAACAAACCCACTAGTTTGTTTTACTTATTAACCCAGCAGCAACGAATCAGTTATGATTGTTTCAAGTGGCTTCCCCTGCTCGATTACACAGATCTGATATTGCTTTAGAAGTTATCTGTCCACGTTAACACCAGTTACGTGTATCTGACGCGCGTTTTACACTGAACCTAATCTAGCTCCGTTTCAATTAAGCATCTATCTGGAAAGGTCATGTCCTTCGTCCTAAGCGTGATAGTTCAGCGCCTTGCGAATCACATGCTGATACCTCACTTCATGACATTATTTTTCAGCTGCGTTATAAATCCATAATTAGTTTGCCAATGAACATTAGTTGACGTCTCTATTTGGCCTAGAGAATTTATGTGATCGATTGCGCTGCCTCATTCCGTTGGTGCACCAAAACACGTAGAAAATGCAGGCATCATATCCAGATTTCATTCTGCTTTGCCAAATGTTCGGAACAAAAGTGTATCCCTTCTTATGCTTCTAACGTTCGTAACACAAATAAATTACCACGCCTTCTAAACTGCAGGCAAAAGGTTTTATTTTTCTCATATGTTTATCTCTTGTTGGTAATGATTATTACTTATCAACGTGTTTTAATGCAACTAAATTGCTCTTTTAAAGTCGGGTTACTGGACAACTGTGGTGTCCGACAAGAAGACTTGGGAATATCTTTCAAAGTCGTCGGGGGTGAAGCATCCAGGCCAAATGCATGGCCATGGGCGGTTAGTTTGAATGCATTTCTCACATACGTAGATCTTTGGCTATGATTTCTACTGGTTTGCTCGATGCTGAATCTTTAGCATTATTCACTGGGATAAATATAATCTACAGCAATTTTATTCAGAAAAATAAAACACTACTACCGTTTGCATCTCAGTTCTGCTGCATCGGCCAATGTTTCGCTTTCCACAGTATCCCAATCCCGAATGCAGAAAAAAGATTATACATATTTAGGTTCTACCATATATTTAGGTGCTCTTTACTGGTTTGTTATATCAGGTAATGAGAAGAATGTGCATGTGGGTTTTCTTCAGTGGTGACTCGTTTAGCCTTGATTAGTTGAGTGTAACACTATGATACTCATTTCTCACAGCTGGTGCAGTTCTCATTAGTGCTGTAAAGGAAAATTGTACAAGCATATTTGTCAGCTGGAAATATTTGTCTGTATTTGGCTACCAGCAACGTAGGATAATGCTAATCTCGTTCTCGTTATCATTGTATAAGTAACACAGCCAACCAGAAGATCAAAAGATGGCGGCATGTCGAGCCTCATGATAAACAGTCTTGTTGAACATTTGAAGCTTACTAACCTACCGCCATTAGTCCATATTACCTTTTAGACAGCATTGCAAACTACAGTCTGCGTAAACATCGCGTTTTGACAAACCACAGCCCCATATCTCTATAACTCATAAGCACATGTTACATCATCAATTCATTATTTAAATCCCAATGGCAAAATGGTCGTTAGGCCGGTCCTACTAAAGAGCACAAGCCGGCTGCTGTCAATGGTAACCATCAAACTTCGGATGTATTTATCAGTACGAATGGAAACAATTGTGAAGACACAACTTCTGTTAAGTTGAGCTTCTCCTTCCATAGGTATCTACAATTGGATATTTTCCGCCATTCTAACTGGTCACTAAGGTTACTTGAAAACCAGAAAGGAATGTCAATTGCAAACTAGTCCTCGGCCCGAGTATGCATTTAAGGTAGTTTATATTTGAACAGCGTAAGAACGGTTAAGTTCTGAGTTCTATCCACATGGATTTGTTGTATAAAATGGGCCCAATTTACCTTTACTAGTTTATAACTTTTATGCGCCCAAATTATCAGCAGTAAGTGTTGTAAAAAATGGATATACCACGTCCAAGTCAATAAAAATTAGATATCATGCGACTCAATAATTGTGTAACAATGGAATATTACAGACGTATTGTGCGGTAGATGCAAAATGGTAGACATACAATATTTCGACTTAGGAAACACAAAGGTTTAACACACGCACGAGGACGCCCATCACATGTTGGCTACTGATAAAGCAACACTTAGAATTGGCATCGGAACTTAATGTCAGTAACGTGGTTAACAAGAAAGACGTGTGTACGGATGGAAGATCTGCATTCGTTCGGTATACGCCATCGGTATATTTACTGTCTCCTTTTATGCTTCAGGCCCACCAGAATTGGCATGGTGCAAACCAATTTTTTTCATATACTGTCTGTAAGGATAGGTAGAGCTAGATTGAAATTACGTGTTGCCCGCCCGGGAACACCGCGGGCAAGACGTAATTTCTATCTCATTCAGCTACGGTCCTAGCAATGAAATTACCGATGTTCATTTAATGTGAATAGCCATCTAAATTGAGATTGCGCTTTGCGATATGTTGCCACAACGAGTAATTCAACATGACCCTCTAATAGAAGATATAGTTGTTGTGGGCTGAATGTTTTTTCTATTTATGGTAATAGAAAACGTTTCGCTTTTGACACAAAAGCTTCATTAGGCGAAGTGAATTATCTTAACATTGGCATTTTATAGCTATCATGGCTAAGTTACATGTAGAGACGAATCAATTAGCAGTTCATCAATGAATAATTACAGCAGTCAAAGGTCACTATATTCGTGGGTACACTGTAGTTTGTTTCAGTCAGGGTCAATTGGGGAAAAGAAATTGCCGGTCCGTGGAGAGGTACATGTGTGGCTAACAATGTTAACTGAACCGTTGTAAAGAACTTGGACATTGATAGAACTTGGCTTTTGTACCTTGGAATTTGGTGGAGGGTGGGTCGATAGTTCATTCCGATTTGGGATCCATCCATACTGAATAAGGAGAAGATAAGGGTAGTTTTCCAGAAAGGTCGAACGCTACGGTCCACGCTTGTGCACCTGAAAGATTCACTAACCTTAGATAGAACAACTAACTGTATTTACAAAATTCCATGTAAAGATTGTACGCAAGTGTACATAGGCCAAACAGCGAGGGAATTACGTACAAGGATTTTAAAACATAGGCGACAAATATCACGACCTCCTCGAAATGAGTTAGAGTATGGAGCTCTACTCAGAGATTCGGCAATAGCGATGCATGTGCTAGACACGGGGCACAAAATCGACTTCGAAAATGTGGAGGTTATCAGGAAGGGATTACGATCAGCCAAACAAAGGCTGATTGCTGAGGCTATAGAAATAATCAAGGCTAACAACTGCGTGAATCGAATAGACGGAGTAGGGCTGTCTAGTGCCTGGCGTCCAGTTTCACTCCGGACAGCTTGATAAGCATCGATGGATGGATCCCAAATCGGAATGAACTATCGACCCACCCTCCACCAAATTCCAAGGTACAAAAGCCAAGATCTATCAATGTCCAAGTTCTTTACAACGGTTCAGTTAACATTGCTAGCCACACATGTACCTCTCCACGGACCGGCAATTTCTTTTCCCCAATTGACCCTGACTGAAGCAAACTACAGTGTACCCACGAACATAGTGACCTTTGACCGCTGTAATCATTCATTGATGAACTGCAAATTGATTCGTCTCTACATGTACCTTAGCTATGATAGCTATAAAATGCCAATGTTAAGATAATTCACTTCGCATGATGAAGCTTTTGTGTCAAAAGCGAAAGGTTGTCTATTACCATAAATACATTAAATGGTCCTCTACCAAGTTTTCTGAAATCATGACTTCCCGATCGGTTCCAAATATGTTCCAAGATATTGAATGTTTTGCTGGATAATTATATCGATTTCTGCCGTGTACTTATGCTGATACATGGCTGGTTAGAAAGATTTGCATAAAACCAGATGAAGTATATTTGACTCATTTCCTGCGAGTCGAATCTTAGAATGCTTAAGTAAAACACTGGTAGTCTCCGTCTGATGTAACGTGTAGGTTTCTATGGTGTACACGTGTTAGGAGAGCTCAAGAGCAGTTGAGATGCTTGCCTCGATTAATTTAATCTGTTTTTATGCCAAGTATTTTACATGGATATGACACCATTTTATTGGATTCACGCTTTGAGTTGCATACAATTAGCCCTTACACTAATTACTTCCATATATATGGACAACCCAACGCTGTTTATACTTAGTAAGCAACATATAATTTCAGTCTGTTACAGAGTTCTCCAAGTGTCTGTACACAATAAGCTTAATTCTTTTCATACATCATCGTTATATAAACTCGCTTTATGAATGCATATCGCGGGACTTCCCATGTACCAGGAAGTAAACCTAGCAGGACGACCAATGTTTCGCACTCCATTTTCCATTTCACCATAGAGGATGACGGAAGCTTCGACAAAAGATGATTGGTACTCGAATGAACCTCAAGAGGTCCAATCGTTAAGTCGCATAACTGATCAAAATGACAGGTTATGCTTATTAGATTCTGTCGTAACTCTTACTGATTCCCTAGCATTGAAATTTACTGAACTGCAGTTGACCGTCCGTTCAGCTTTATTCCAAGCATCGTACTGTTTTAAGCAAGCCGTTTTGTGTGTGGAAGATATTGATTGTACGCTCTGATGAATCAGACTTTTTGGTCACTAAGGATAACACCATATAACTATAAAGCTTGTTTCAGCTACGTGTTATATGTTTGCGTACGTATTCATTTAACATCAATTGCTGGTAATAGCTCATCGTATATACTATTGCCTGCAATTTTTCGCGTTCCGGAGGCTTAAGTCAGTCATCTAGTGGGACCTTATATCACAGAGACAACTGGAACAGATGTCACTGCTTGCTGTTTCTTACACAGTACAGCAATTTTGAGCATCCTACTTTGCAAAATCCAATGTCAAGTTCAGTATAAATGAAAATCTAAGGGCATTCATCTTTAAGCTTAAAAGAGGTTATAAACATGCAAGGCAACATCAGCAATATTCGTATATTTTCCTACATAGACAAATATTTACTAACTCACACCTGTTCGTATTAATTTTGCTGACATTTAGATTCGGCTGACAACAAGAAATACTGAAGGAGATTTGGGGACCTTCTGCGGGGGAACATTGATCAACCGACAGTGGATTGTTACTGCCGCACATTGTTTCAGCCAATTTAATTGGAGGTTCCCTCAAGGAAAACTAGTTTCTCCGGACGACTACCTTGACAGTAGTGTATACGCATATCTTGGTGATCATCGGACTAACGTAACAGAGAAAACTCAGCGAGAATATCGCATCAAGGCTGTCATCCAGTTTCCGCACTATTCCCCAACTTATCGCCATCTTCGTCACGATATTGCGTTGGCGCAACTGGAAAAACCTGTTGAAATGCGTGAGTTATCTTAGGCACTTAAAAAGGCAATATGAACACACCAATCTGATGGCAATTTATAGTCTTTCGGGTTAGTAGGTCGCAGCGCTTTAACGGGATCTGTGTTTTACGTCATCGTGTAATTCAGTGGTATTTAAATCGTTGCTTACAATGTGTCATCATCAACCTGTTAGGGGATCTACTTTTGAATGCAATGTTCGTGAATGGGCCGAAATTAATCATGAGCCCCCGGTTTTACAAAGCCTAGCCAATGCCGTCCCCGTGTTTTGTGAGTGCTTATAACTAGGTAAGCGGTTGTCTTAGAGATAGAAAATATATACTTACATTCCGTCGCTATATCAAAACTGTGGAAAGCGTACTTATGTCTGGACCAATGGTTTGTTGGTAGTCGTATTACAAACTTAAAATCATAACCGAAAACTTCAGATACTGCTCAATAAAAAGTGACGATTTATGCCAGAGATAAGCTATTTGTGGTACAGACTTATTTAACCTTTACGTTGATGGAACAAGGTGCCAGGAAGGTAGAGAATTACACCGTTGTCTACATGGAAGGGTAGTACTCTTGGAACCCATCACCGAAAACCATACTGTAAACAAAACCTACAGCTCGTAGGATCCTTAGTCAATCAGAGACATCATTAATATATGAGCAGAAGCGTGCGCCTTTGGACCTGCTGGAATCTAAGTTTAGCTATCTCCCATGCTAACCATATCTGTAAAGTGCAAATCGTATGATACTTGCAGCTGATAGTATGGTTATTCCAGCTATTTCAGCGGCTTACAAGAGTAGAATTTATCGCCAGAGCATGAACAAGCATTCACTTGAGATAACAATCCACGTATTCCTTCCGTAAAATTATACGACAGTATCATTCACACTGACACCTTTAGGACGATAACAAAATTTGTATAAAGGTTCCTTGGTGAAATGTGCTGCAGTCTGTTCCCTTCATACCAATAGAAGCGTAGTTGTTTGGAAACTTTGTATCATATCCTTAATTCTAGTGATCATATCAGCCGCCTAAAATACTTTGTTTCAGTTTTGAGCTGGCTATTATAGGTGTGCCTACAACTGCGCTTGTACAAGTCGCGTGGCTTTGGTATACAGTGATGTCTTAAATCAGGTCATTGAAAAATCAGTAAGTTATACTGCTATCATCATGTGGGTGAATTGTTCGTTTTGGCTTAGATCTCGATTCACCTTGCGCCAGATAATCGAATTTCGAGCGATTTCACAATTAGCAACAAGTCAGCACCTAGGACAATCGTGTAAAACCCAATTAGTTTTCCTGCGTGGTGTGTCTATGTCCAGCTGCATGTATTTGATGCTTCCTCTAGATTTTTGTGTGTACTTAATTTTCCGTTTCTGTGTCTTCAGTTTTGCTTTCAGGGTTGATTTTCTGGCTTATTGCCTGCAGTTAGCTCTTGCGGTGAAGTGCATTACACCGTTCGGTTGCAGTCACCTTGTACTATCCGGCTCATATTAGTTACCGTGAGGTAGTAACGGATGCGATTCTGTCAAAATTGTCTCGGAATCACCATGCTGTATCCTGTCTCTTGAAGAGTTGGGTCGCGAGCTATTGCTTATATCACCAAACTCCATATGCGCTGAATAAGCACATGCCTTATACTCCGGGTATGTGAAAGCATCAGTAGTTAACTGGATCGTATTTGAATTAAGTCAGTCACCGTTAGTCTATGATACGCATTGCTCAGGCGCTACTGCGCTTTAACGTACGTCCGCGGCAATATATATACCAAAAATAGGTCTAAGTGGTACACAGATACGCAGTACTACCGTTTCGCTGCCGCCCAGCCACCACTAGTCCCAGTGGGCTAAAGATATTTCTACGCTTGCCCAATCCCTACAGATACTGGAACCTGCACCCTCAGATTACAAGAGAGGTTTGTGATCATTAAGACTAAGGGCCGACCTAACATAAACCATCTTCAAATCTCATGTGAACCAACCCAACTGAATTAATGGATAACTTTGTAACATGAGTGAGGGATCGGGCTCATACTCAATGGTTACTTAGTCGGCTAATTCCTTGCAGATGAATAAAAAGTAAATGCAAAACTACCCCCTCTAACCCAAAGAATCAGTTGAGTGAGGGGGTCAGCGTTGTCCAACTTGGCTGCATTTCCGGATGATTAGTACAGTACAAACGTATTGTCCGTATAGTTGGATGCTTTGAACTTTAGATTCAAAATGCACGAAGCGTTTCATGCCATTTACCGATTAAACAGACTGAACACACAAGTCCTTAGACATTGTATAATGGTCCAGTTCTTCAACACCTTGACTTCCCATGCCCACTTTCGCACTGATTAATAAAGGTAAACACCTACCATCCTTGTTTAATTTGGGACCAATCACTTAGCTCAGCTCGATTACCCAGGTTGGCTAGGCCATGAAAATAATAACACAATTTGGTGGTTGCCTTCATACCATAGGGTCACCGTACATCCGTGTGAGGATGAACAGATTAAAACGCTTTTGCGAAGATTAGTAACGGATGGACTCAACCAGCCACCCACGATACACTCAGGAAAGCTCGAGACAGCCGTTTCATCCTATGAAGGCACGTCAGTAGCGCGCATCCACCGGATGTTGTTGGGTCAGAAACCATGGCCTTGACCTTGCGAGTCTCCAGTCATAATGCTGAGTTATGTGTGACAGCAGCAAACTGCCATGACTGCTTTCGAACTGCGATTTAGTTCGCTAATTCGTGTTTGCTGTCCTCAACAGGGATATGATATAGTTTAATGGAGAACCTTTCTAATCCTGAGCATGGATTTCTTTAGTATGCCGATAACTTATGGCACAAGCGTACATCAACTGACAACGTAATGAAAGAAGAAGTATTCAACTGGAGCCTTTTACATGAAGTCGACCACTGGCACCGCAAATGGGCTAAAAACAGACAAGTAAATTTGCAATTGTGTTTGTACAGGACTAGATAGCACAGTCGTATCATTGGCCGTGTCTCAGGATGATTTATCCTTTCCGCTGGGGAAAACGGTATTTACTTCATATTTTACACGTTTTGCGGCATGCGATTCCGGATTTGTCTGTCACTGCGGCCTCCATAGGACGGCCACACGGCGCATGCGTCTACAGAGGGACCATGCGTGATTTGCACTGCACCACATATCTCAAATCCAGTTGGAACCCGAAGGAATTAGATCGAGTAGCATGTCGATGGAAACCTCCTCTCATTAACAAAGTAAGCCCACAGTCCTTCAACATACGCAGTAGCAGCATTCCTGTCTATCTATGTGGGGAATCACGCGAGCTAGACGTACACAAGGCGGTGGTTGAGTCGTAGCCCGACATAGGTTAGATGCATGGAACCAATGTTTATCCTAGCCCTGTCGCAGGAACCGTGTACCTCGTTTCCGAAAGCAACGACAAACAACCACAGCCTGTATAGTCAAGATAGCGGTTTTGAAAAGAACCTTGTCAACATTCACATCAAGCTCAGGCACAACAGGAATGTCAACAACCAACACGGAATTTGAAAGGAAAAATACACAAAAACCGACAAAGAATATTCAGCGGGATAACTGAACCGAGCAAGTTAAGTAACATGTATTACGTTTTATCAAGGATAACAAGATCTACATTAAGTGCAATTTTTAGTCAATGTAGTTCAGCTGCGGTGAAAAATGCTGGTTTAGGCCATATCTAACTCTGCATGGAACACATATGCACCATTCTAGAGAACTCATGTTAACCAGCTCGACATAAACCAGTGCATGTTAAACAGTTGACAAACGCTCGTACTATTTTTCAATTTGCTTACATGATGTTGCTTAAGGTGCCCTGCTAATCTTTCTCTGAGATTTCGCTGCGATGTGCACGTGGTTTACTTCCGTAACGCCGGTAGCGTACATTAATGAGACAAGGAACTCTCTAAACGCTGAATCACACTGATTAACGCACGATTATTATTCCGCAGTACCGGAGATCAATTATGCATGTCTACCAAAGGAAGAGGTTGAATTGAAGAGTGGCACCGATTGCTTCGGTGTCGGATGGGGTCTTATGTGGAAAGACGTGAATGGCAACAGCATTGTGCGACACGTATCTTCGGGCAACTCATCCAAACTGGAAGATTCGGATGAACACACATTCCCTGAAAAGCCTTGGCCCCCTTACACCGAAACAGAGGCGGACGAATTGCAGGAGGTCAAATTATCCGTTCGAAGCACCGCTGAGTGTACAAAATATGTAACTCAATTTCTAAGTGGTTCACAAATCTGTGCCGGTTATAGAGGAAAGGTAAGTATATTAGTCTATCTCTACCCAATTATACATGTACGCAAGGTATATGATGAGGAAAGTTGATTACCTGTCCCTCTCCATAGGGAACAGGTGACCCAATTTATTCCCCATCACTCAGGAATACAACTAAGCCGATTCTCTTCTGTTAGCGCAAATAAAAGCGCGAAGAGTTGCAACATATTTACAGAACTTCAAGCACCCACCAACGCGCATAGTATTTTGCGGCGTACAAGCAAGCTGCTAAAATTAACGACGAAGTTGTACATGGGTATTTAAATTGCACGCTAGGGGGTTTATAATTACGTAACTTCGTTTATTCCTTTGCTGCATAAAAATGCTAGTGTTGACGCCTAGCGCAATATTTACATCCCTACATGAAGAATTAGAACATAAGCGCTTTTCATCACAGCCTAATATCAAGAAACCCGTAGACCTTTGCTTCATTTACTGACGATCTGAAGTATCGTGCATTATTGCGATCCATTTGTTACGTTCATGTTTCCCGGCACCCGGTAAATGCTTGAATGGTTGCGAAGCACTCAATCATTTCGCCTGAGATACGCACGCTTATAAAAGATCCTTGATACATGGAGAGATAAGAGGTAGCAGGTTGCTTAATTTTTTTAAAGTAAGTCATTCAAGAATAGCATCTCCAACATAACAGGCTTCTAATTGTTACACATGGGTTACAAACCAACTTTGAGTGCAAGTTCCATTGGCTGTACTCAATGTTTACAGCTTTCGACACACCAACAGGTTACACCCTGGTTTATCCACAACGTTAAATGAAAGCTATGTTTGCCTAGAAACTTTTGTGGGCTGTACTGAACCAATTCTTTTAGTGCAGAATATACGACTCCGAACTAACCATATAAATCGAAAGCTTCCCATCCCACATATTCCCTAAAGCCTGGGTTATCTAAACTTCTTCTAGGTTTGCGGCATTAATAAGTATTTTGATTCCAACAGCTTAAAATGTAATTTATACATCGTGTGCTTAATCTATTCTTTGTTTAGTGGACAAATTTAGGGAGGTTTAAGAAACAAATGAAGAGCTTCATATCATGCGTCAGTTATTTGCATTTATAGGCCATTAGTAACAGTGGCAACGAGCAACATCTAGAGGAACAACGATTTAACTAGGCATCACAAACTCAAAGCTGTTCGTTGTTCAGTACTTCTTCTGTTGCGGGCAACACTTGGTGGGAAAGCAACAGAACACTCGGACGTCCATTGCCTGTACTGTCTAAATCCACTGCTTCATGAAGTTGCCAGTCAAGGATGTAGCTATACTTACCCATGCTCCTCGATACTTTTGATGAATTTAAGGACGCGGAAACGGACAATTTTGCACCCTTGATTTATTTGTGGCGTAGATTAGTCAAACGGCTAAGATGGTAATGAAATATATAACAATGACTGGTGCAACTGGAACAAAGATTGTGGGAACAAGTGATAAGTTGGGAAATAGAGTGCATTATGATTCTGCACCACGTTTCACAGTGGCCTAGATAAGCCCAAAGAAAAGCATCGAATAAGACTACTTATTCCAAGATACGGTGTTGGACCAGATTACGTACTTATGTTACGGGTGCTAATATGCTATGTTTAACATAAGTTGCTGTAATCGACTTTTCGACGCTTTCATGCTAAACAATGAGAACTCCACCGAAGCACTTCTGATAAGTGTATGTACAATCATTCGCCGTCTGTTCATACGTTTCTCTCCATGTCCTCCAGGGTACCTGTCACGGAGACAGTGGTGGAGGCCTATTTTGCAAGCTACCAAACACCAACAAATGGTTCATTGCAGGTGTGACGAGTTCTACTAGCCTCAAAGGATGTGGGTACGATGTCGGTGTGTACATGTCAGCTATTGCCTATCGGAGTTGGATATGGAATACAATCGATGGATCCAGTGTTCAGTAATATCTCGCAAAATGGGGTAAACTACAGCAATATAGACCCATGAGAGGATGTACGTAGTGGAACTTTTGTGCCTTATTTGTTCGAGTAGATAAACAACTGATATTGCCAAAGTTCACACCTCCATCTGCTGTCTTTGCTGGGAAAGGGTTTATCTCTTTAATATACTGTTACATATTACACTTAAGATTTCAACCCTAAGGTGCCATTAATGCTTACTACTAAAAGTCTGACATCAACATGCGTTCCACCGTAGTGACAAGGTACATGACAGTTGCTTTAACCTGGTGCAACTAAACACTGTCCAATAAGCTGACCTCCAACCTGTAAGATAAATGATGTTAACGAAACGTTCGTCGGTAATTAGCGTACGAAGAAGATTATTATTGAACTTTAAGTTACGATTTTCTTCACTGGATCAGCCTTCAGAAAGTTTGCTTCGGCGTGTACATTACATTGTTATTGTCATGAAGAAGACAGTTTGGCAGGTCTTTACAATTTGAAAGCAGCGGTCGCTTGCAAGTTTTATAATAGCCGAATCCATCCCTGCAACTAGAGTAACATTTTTGTTGGTGTACCCAGCATTTTCTAGTTTGCGTAGCTAATCTACGGTGGATTAAGTGTGAGTCAACTCAGCTGGCATTCTTTTGGATATCCGAATTACCTAACTACCTGATCAGTTAAGCTGTAGCAAAAAACTACAGCCTGCAGAACAACACTGTAGCACGTTCAGCAGAGAACTCCTAGTCAAGTACCACAATGAGCGCCTTTACCGACACTGTTTGGAGGGAAGTCCATTCACGGTATTCACCAATCACAAGCCGTTAACGAATACACTGCATTCCACTTTTTACCGTCATCCTCCGCAAGAAAGCAGTCAATTGCACTACACTTCCTAATTTACATCAGCTAAACAGCATTTGTCTAGTGCAAACAAGCCCTAGCAGACAACTTATCACAGTCGGAAAGTAAATCCCTAGTTGAGCATTCCCCCATCCATCTCCGGGAATTAGCAACAACACAGCTTCAGAATAAGCATTTCCTTCAGCAATTGCCAGGAACAAACTTACAGTCGAGACACCTTCTGCTGCCTGATTGATGGGATGTTATTATATGTGATACCCACACTAGGGAAACGCGACCTGTAGTCTCATGACCTATCAACGAAACATTATTGTTGCACTACACGGTCTATCACATCCAGACATCCACGCAACTAGCAAGCTAATCTCCGACCGTTTTGTGGAGCCGGCAACGAAAAGAGACGTGCAGACCTTGGTAAGAAGTTGTCCCTCCTATCGACGCTCAAAATTGTGGCGACATACACAGGAACCATTTTGCATTTTCACCTTTCCTGATGCTCGTTGCAGCCCCGTTCACATCTACGCCGTTGATCCGCTACCGCCGTCGGGTAGGTATACGTAGTTACTCATTTATCGACTTTTTCACTTCTTGGCCCGTAGCGGCACCCATCGCAAAACATTCTGTAAAGACTGTAACACACAACTTTGTACCTCATTGCATCGCGTATTCTGGTGTATCATCTACTACAACAACGGATACTGGAGGGCAGTTTGAATCAGCGCTCTTCCGAGAGTTACTTCATATTTTGGAGCTAAGCGAATAAGCATATCTGCGTATCACGCTGCAGCATACGGGGGAGCTGAAGGTTTATATCGCCACTACAAAACATCTTGGAGGACGTGTTTCGACTACTCGTTGGACCGAAACTTTACCTCTGGGTTTATTAGGTCCTGCAATCATACCTATAGTTTATATAGGTTGCTCTGACACCGAGCTGTGCTTATCGGAGACCCGCCTGCAAGACTCGAGCTCTGTGCTCACTTTGCCATCCCCTTCAGTTGACACCAGCAACCCTTTCTCATTGCGCCTATCCGGTGACGCTGCAGCTTCCAGCACCAGCCAAACCGGTGTTGGTATTGCCCTAAGTCCTCTGGCTAAGCTGCTCTGGTTGATTGGATTCCAATCAGTAGCCGGTTGTGTGCGGTCCGATTGGCTGGCTGGTTCAAAGCTTCGAAGCCGCACGGGACTTACAGGTGTCTGTTCGTCATCGTTGCCTATGCACCCACAAACTATAGCGATGATTCGGTAGAAGACGACTTCAAACGCCAATTGAACGAGCTCTTTCGCCACAGAAGAACCTCGGACACCGTTGTGCTGGCTGGGGAACTGAACATACGCAACAAGCAACTGTCTGAACACAGAGAAGTCTATTCGTCCAAACGCGCGTCGTAACACGCCGAAGTGTCGCTTACCAGTTTTCGACTTTTTTTCAGATTGTTTGAAACCACTCAAGTTATCTTATACTAGTAAGCCAAGGTCGCACTCGACGGATGATCACTGCAGTATGTGCGTTTCCAGCCTGTAGGAATGGATACTCTAGTGTCATATGGAGAGTACCTTGCTTTTGTCCGCTTTGAACTGTAGCAGGTTTTATGTCGATCGCGGATAAACTATATCCAGGTCACCTTAGAGTAAATGCTCATCAGCATTCGGCTGAATGCTGCGCCAGCTCTTCATATGGTCAGCAAACATAAGGAAAGTTGAGGCGATTTTCTGTGCAAGCTCATTTACAAATACCAACAAATCGTTGTGCAATGCTTGAGCCCAGGGGCACACTACACTGGTATAAGTTCTGATAAGAAACTCTGGACCCTAACCATTAATAGTCTTTGCGGGAGGTTAGCAATCCAGCTCAAGAGACGGTCGCCGATCCCGTACAAATGGAGCTAGGAAAGAAGAATCCGATAATCTAAACAACCGAATAACGGACAAATTCAAGTAGCCCACATTAACGGCCTTTCCATCGTCAGCTGACCTGGTGCAAATGTTCCATACGATAAATTACTTGTGCATGATCGCTGCCCACTAAAGCCATGTTGCTCTAGAGCAATTGTGTTACAATTTTCTAGATAACACACAAACGCATCGGCAATGAGGGTTTGCATTAACTTGGATGATACAGGAAGAACAGACACTGGGAGGTAATTTAAAGGCTCAGTCCTGCTTCAGCCTTCGTGAATCGGTTAGTATCCCAAGCTTCCATATCGTAGGAACCTGGTTTTGGAGTAAGCAGCGCTGAAAGACTTGTGTCAAAGACTTTTCCGATTGTCGTAATGCTGCTGCCAACATCTCGGATCGAATGATAACCACACACGGAGAACGGTAGTTGCACAGTGATGTCGATTGTAATATTGCTTTAACCGCACATTTAAAGTGGTTGAGTCTTGGAGGCAGGAAAACAGACGAGGGATAATCGCCTGATGATAAACCACTCTGAAATGTGGAAGCATATTGCGTCCGTAACATGGTGGCTGCTTTTACAGCTGATCTAGTTGGACCGTCAGTCGTTGGGACTGAAGGAATTTCTTGACTAGCCTTATGAAGGCCATTGACATAATTGTACAGCAGTTGGTGGTTAGCGCTGAAAATTTTAGCAGGTTCTGCTGATTTGCGGATTTGTCCTCCCAGCAGTTGAGTTCAGTGGTTAGGCTTAGCTACGTAGTTGTCCCAGTTATCCGGCGTTGGTGATGATTTATATACACTCCAGGTTGCGTGGCGTGCAGCCATCCAATTTATAGTACTGCACCTCACAAAACAGGCGGTTTTCAGCTCATTTCAAATCCTTGTCTAAGGCACTCATAAATAATTGATTGCATTTGTTAACGAATTCAAGCCAAGCCACTTTCAGGTGGTTTTAAGCAAGGAAGGAACAAGTTGTGGCGCTGACGAGCTGTGCTAAGCAGTCTTAGCATGTAATGTTGCGCATCATCTCGGGGTTCTCTTGACGATATTCCGCACAGCAGATGAAATCGAAACTGACGAGTGCATAAACAGTACGACCCAAAGAGCAGTCTAAAACCAGTACATCATCCATATATTCCTCTCTCGTTAACACAGGATTCAGTAACCTAGGTCCATTACCTGTTCTGAAACCGGTAAGACAAATGACGTGGTCGTAAGTTGGAACATTGATTGTGAGCACTTGCGGATAGACTTTGAATTGTTATCCGAATATATCAGGGATATGTAAAAATTTACGCTGAAATAGCCCAAGAGAAAAAGCTGGGTGTGCTTTCACTTTAGACTGAATCTTAAAACTGCCAAATGATGGCAGTCCATTTAGGGTATAGACTTCGGGGAGCGGTACGCAAAAGTTAAAATGCTGGTGCCTCTGTTATATAATCGCAGGCGGCACCAAAGAGAATCGGTAAAAGATGTAGCTAAACCATTCAAGGCCTGGCACTGTAGGTCGTTTTGGAAAAAGATACTTACTACTCCTCTTTTCGTAAGCCTGTCCTTTCGTATATGCCCGGCAGCGAGACTCCAGCGGCCGTCATTCCTGTGTGCAACCACGTCTCTGTGACATCGTTAATATGGCGTGGCTTCGAAATTTGTTGACGTTTAGGTTTCGCCAGCTTATTGTAACGGCCTTGAGCACCGGCATAAAGTCAGGATAGTTTCTTGGTCTCGAGCCCACAGTAGTCAAGTGTGTGTGAATGCCGACCGATTTGAAGTCAGCCGTCATTCATATTTTGATGGGATGATGGTCATTCGTTCATATCATGATTTGGCCAATGTGCGATCCAATCCTCGTCAAGACATACTGCAACATCGCGTGATTGAACGGTAAAGTGACGCTCCTGTGTAATCGTCAGTAGATTTGCCTTTCAGGTAAGCCTAAAACTGATGTTTGCAAGGCTGTAGCAGCTTTTAACCGAAGTTCAGATGGGAGGCTTTGTGATGTCCTCGCCAACGTACTAACAATTCCCTGGCCTTCTGCTTTGACTGAACCAGATCTTTTAGTTTTCCATGGGGCCTATGCCCTATAATTTTGTGAGAGATGTGGCCTTCAGAACGATTGATCCCAAAAGTAGTCCAAGGAAGTTGTTTAACGAAAGAAACCCTACCTTTCCAAATCACGACTAGCAGCCTCATGACTATTTGGATAAGGATTGTGCCCTGACAATCCAGCTTATTGCGTTCTTCCGCAAAGTTTTATTTTGATTGTCACGAGCTCCAAGTGAACGCAGCATAACTGCTTGCTCTACAGGACTTGATGTTTGGCACATTTGCAAATAATAAAAC